TACATCCCCGCCCCCACCCCCCAAATCTTGAACCCTTCCCCTTCCCTCACAGCAATCCTATTTATTCTGGTTACAAATAGACCTCAAGCCTGACCCCTTCTCTCCAACCCCAAGCTGCCCCTCGTCCAGCTGGCTCTCTGCTGCTTCTGCCCTCTCCCCCACCCCCCTATTCTCACTCAGCAACCAGACACCCCCGTGATCTAGTCACTCCCTGTGCACGGGTTTCCCAGAGCTCTCCGTTAAACCCAGATTCCCAGGTTGCAACCCACAGGAGTGGGGACTAAGGGCGTCCCCAGTGCTCCCACTTGACTCCCAAGGGTCAAAGTCAGGCGGCAGGGAGGAAGCTTCCGCAGGCTACCCTGGAAGGCCCTCTCTAAACGCAGTCTGTTGTGAACCTCCTCACGGGCAGGACCCCGACTTCTGCTTCAGGGAAGCGGTGGAAAAAAACCCTACTCTTTAGAGTCAGACAGCCCTAAATTCAAATCCCGGCTCATTCTATGCAGCCCAGCCGGCTCACTTCTACTACCTCTGTCACTTTCTCTTACCATGTGAACACAACAAAACAAAACAAATCCTGGCTCACTTAACCGACCTCTGCTTCCGTTTACTCGTCTGTGAAATGGAGATAACAACACTTAGGACCTGCGAGGGTTCCTGTGAGAATTAAATGAGCCAGAAAGCACTTACCACAGCACACAGTAGGCGTTTAATGCGTCACTGAAAGCTCTCGCTCGCATTCTACGGAACCGGCCGCCAGGGCTGCCCAAGACCGGACTCGTTCGCCAGGTGTTAAGTTCCTGTCACTAGAACGTGTGCAGCGCCACTTGATGCCCAGCGGCTTTCGGTGCCCGCAGAGGGCTGGCCTAGGTCATAATGTCCCTCCAGCCTCGAGTTAAGCGCTCAGAGTCTGACTTCTGGTCCCCGCGCCTCAAGCAACACAGCCCAAGAACGTGTCCTCCGCAGGGACCCCGCGACCCAGCAGCCGCGGTCTCTCAAAAATAAAGTAAATCGGGGCAGACCGCGGGCGGAGCCGCAGGACCGTCCCCGCAGGGCTGGGTGGGGGAGGGGACGGCACGCAGGCGCCGCGCCCTGCCATTGGCCCGCGCCGCAGGGAGGCGGGACCCTATACGTCGCAGCCCCGCCGTGCGGGCGGTGTCCGTCATTCGGCGGCGGCTAGAGGACACTGTTAAGATGGCGGTGGTGTCTGGGCTGGCGCGGAGACCCCTTGAGCAGGTAGGCGGCGCGGAGTGCCGGCC